ATATGCTGACTCTGTAAACCGCTTAGAGAGGGCTGAAAGCCCTATGAAGCGGTATATAAGTCTAACTGCTATTGCTATTGCTATATTTTAATGTTAGTATTTTTTAACATAGTGTAAAAACTAATGTGTCTTGCTGGTCTTTGACTGTAATAAAGATTTTACTTACTTACTTACTTATATCTCTCTCTCTCTTTCTTTGTCCTTTTTATTCTGTGCTATTTTGTGTTAACTTTTATGTTCGTTTGCAAACTTTTAATAAACTTTATAACAAAACCCATTCATGTGCTCCAAAAATGGTTGCTGGGGCATTTTTAAACTGCATTTATCAGGTCAGGTGGAAATGCTCTCAGACATAAGCAAGAAGGTTTGGATTCTGCTGGATGCTTCTTCCTCTGAACTACAGGGTGATGGAAAAGTTGTGACCTTGGCTGAGAAGGGCCTGAATACACAATGGAGTGATCTCTCCCCCCGTCCCCACGCCGAGTTTTCTGCTGAATCCTGAATGACTCCACAATGGGACTCTCGCTGTGAACAATGAGAGGGATGTTTTTAAAAAGCCAGGAAAGCTGTTGAACGCTGTTCCATCACACACTTTTGCCTGCTAGGTGATTGTGTGTGTCTATTCACACTTGGCCAATAAAGAATTCTATTCTATTCTATTGTTATCTACTGTCATACCAACAGGGGGGAAATTGCTCTGATGCCACCTAGTGGCAGGGATTTGTGCCTACTTTTTGAAAAAACTCATAATTTCCACTCTCATTCCCGTCAATCAGAATAGAGCTGGAAGGGATCTTGGAGATCTTTTAGTCCAACCCTCTGCACAAACAGGAGAGCCTATTTCATTTCAGAAAAGTGGCTGTCAGTCTCTTCTTAAAAACCTCCAGTGATGAAGCTGATACTGAAGGCAAGATGTTCTGCTGGTTAATTGTTCTTACTGTTAGGAAGGTTGCTTCTCTTCTTGGTTAGTTTCTATCCATTGTTTCTTGTCCATGTTTCTTCATGAAACAATAGAAGGCTATCCCAAGTGGGTAAAATATGTGTGATTAATCGATAACAACAAGGAGATCAGAGGTGGGTTCCTACCAGTTCGCACCTATTCGGTAGAACCGGTTCGTCAAATCTACCGAACCGGTTAGAAGAGGTTCCACCAGTGGACCCGGAAAGCAGGACACACCTACAGAAGAGGTTCCAAATTTTTTTGAAACCCACCACTGGTCCTTGGATATGATTATTCTACACTATCATGCTCATATTTATAAAACTCAGTGCCTCTGTGAAAGGTAAGGATGACTACTGCGTTTGTGGTGCAATCAGAACATTGCGTGTGTTGAAGTTGTTTTAACGCAAACCAAAGATGCCTTTTAAAAAACAAGTTTACATCCTATTCTTATACATGCCAGTGCTGTGTGTGAGGTAATTTAAGGTGGTTCTGACAAGTGTCGTCGGCATCTTCATATCCGGTCACATGGGCGGCAAGCCACTCCCATCCAGTCACATGGGCAGCAAGCCACTCCCAGAAAGGAGGCCACACCCACAGAGTAGGTTCGAACAATTTTTGAAACCCACCACTGAGGCTATCCCAAATGGGTAAAATATGTGTGATTATTCGATAACAACAAGGAGATACAGAGCCTTTTTGCTGGTCCTTGCCACATTTTGGCAGCCCATATAAAGATAAATTTTTAATAAAAGGTTTAGCTGACTTCTAGCTCCTTCTGTGTCTCTTCTATTCAGGATGGAGTAAATAGCCAAAACAAGAGATCCTGGGGTTATTTTCCTCATTTTGAGTGAAATCTCCCTCTATGTAAGTAGAAGAGAAAAAGGCTAACAAGAAACAGAAGTCTTCCTAATTTCTCCACTGGGGAATCATGCTTCCATACACACCGAAGGCTTAAGTGGAACTTATTCCTATTTCAACTATCTGTGCCATCCTGAAAGTGAATCTAAGGCTAAATTTCATTTTATTAGAGTCACGTGTGATATAAGTAGCCACAAACTCAGAAGAGTTTCAAAGAAAAGCAATCCCTTGTAACAGGGTCAATTTGGAATCATTTCTCCCAATCATTACTCATAAATTTCATAATTCATAAATGGATGTCAGGGGTGGGTTTCAGCAGCCACTACTGCTGGTTCGCGTGTTGGGGATGTGCATGCACAGTGCAATAAAAATTGCTCTGCATGTGCGCAGAAGCAAAAAAACAATATGGCAGTGTTTATGGCATCCGCCCGGAGAACCAGTTCGTGGGGGGGGGCAGGCCTGGGTCACTGCCGGTTCCAGCAATCCAGCCATCAAACCACTACTGGTGGATGTGATGGATGATGGATGTGATGTATTTACAATGATTTTCCATATTTCTACAAGATCAGATATATCCACTGATGTACTATAATAAAGTACAGCCTTTTTAATCGCCATGGCAGAAATTTCAGGCATGACTTCTTTATATGTGTGTGTGTGTGTGTGTGT